ATAAAGCCCTGATACAAAAAGCTCCCACAAGACAGGCTGAACTCCCTTATTTGACAGTTACCAGAAATTCAACAGGTGGAAAAGTTACCTCCTCAAGCAGCCATTCCATCTTTTCGTCAGTGTAAACAAGGGCGTAGTAGAAATTCTTGCCCAAAGGCACGGGAGCCACTGACAACCAGTAGCCTTCCTATCAAAAATCCTTAATCCAGTAATCCGAGGATGGCCCAAATGCATTCCTGGATGACACTTAGTTTATGAAGTTTGCTAAAAGTTAACAGTGTAACATGTATTATCCTAACTTCTAATCTTGTGGCCTTAGGCAGTCTAGTTCACAGACATGAAAGAAGTTTGCTTTGGAAAAGAACAGTTATCATCTTTGCCAAAAAAAAAAAAAAAAAAAAAATTTATGTAAAAAGAATCTTATATTCTTGTCCTAAAATAAACTGGCTGTTTAAAAAAGGGATATTTACAACAAGTCAGAAAGTTGAAGATTATGAAAGTTGTGAAAAATGTTATAAAAGGGAATTTATGCAAGAAATGTTACATAATTTAAAAGTAATTAGGCCTCCTAAATGTAAAACTATTGAAGAAACAGTTTATGTGCAAGGTGTGTAAGGAAAGTGAAATATACTTTTGGTAAAAGGATTATAAGGAGGCATAAGAATGTCGATTTCTACCTACATTAAAAAAAGGTTAAAAAAACCCTTTGTTTTGAAGATTTAAGCAAGTTTTAAAATGTTATTTATAAAGGAAATTGTGTGTAAACACATTGGCTAATGTTAAAGGGATATGATCCAGGTTTTCTGTGAACTGGACATTAAAATAAAAGCACAAGTTTTTTTTTTAAACCCTAACCTGCTCTTTAACAAAAATTATACAGGGTTAAAAAGAGTCTTTTAAAGTCTTACCTTACGGTCAGACATTAAAATTGGATAAATATGTCTATAAGGATTTATTAAAATTGTTTGACATTAGCACACTATTACAAAGGTGAAATTTAGCTTATCTGGTATAAAATCATACAGGAAGCACTGTCAAATATAAAATGGTACTTGGCTTTCTTTGGTCTGAAAACTAATAAAAATAGGTGCTAAAGAGAATTCAGAAGGCAAATGGATATGACCAGGTCAGAGAAAAATGTTACTGAACCCCTTAAGAGGGGACTCTGCTTTCACCTGCATCTAGGGACCCACTGGGGGCTTAAAGCCATGTGTGACCCAGTCCTCAGTTTATGGGTGCATAGGATTTTATACCAAACGAGTTACAGACAGTTGCTTAGTATGTAAGAAAACTAATAAACTAAAAAAGAAAAGAAAACAAAATTACCCCTTGGGGGAAGGAATCCAAGCTTAAGGCCATTCTAAAGTTATCCAGATTAATTACACAAAAATGCCTCCAATTGATTGTCTAAAGTGTTTGATTCAGATAGCAGGACTCATTTTCCTGCCTGTCATTGGGAAATTAGCCCAGGTACTGGGTATAACATGAAAATATCGTATTCCCTGGCACCCACCTTCAACAGGGAAAGTAGGAAGGCCTATTACCCTGTTAAGAGTACAAACTGCTCCCCAAAGACATTTACTACTGATCTCCCTACATTTGAAAAAAGGAATCAGTTTCTCAAAAATTATATACTTGATTTATCTTCCACTTTTCCCTTCCCTTGGAACTAAAAGTCTTTTAGTGCAGGTGCCACCCCTGGTGGTCCAACGCTCTGCTGACCACTAAAGAGCAAGGACAGACTGCCCCAACTAGTACCTGCGGTTCCTTAAAACCATATATTCATTCTGCTAAAGGAGTTACCCCTCCCCATTGTCAGACTGATTACCATCTCTGCTCCCCAGAGTTCTTCCCCTTCATTAAGCCATTTCTATGGTATAGGAGCAGAAGTCTCAGGGAAGGACCCCATAGAATCCTTTAAAATGTGCTTTATTGCCTCCTCACCTCCTGCAACCCCTTTTCCATCTCCTAAGTTCTCCACTAACCAAACCCTCTCTCACCGTCTACCCAAGGATAAAACCAAAGTAGCTGTTGTAGAGGTTAAAGATTTAAAGCAAACTATAGCAACTGAAGCAGGGTACCAGGACGCAAATGCTTGGCTGGAATGAATTAGATATTCTGTTCTCATGCTAAACAAGAGCAACTGTCATGCTTGTGCGACAGGCAGGCCAGAGACCCAGACTGTCCCCTTTCCACTTGGGTGGTCCTCTCAGGGACTGGGCATGAGCTGTGTGGTAGCTCTCTTCCAGAACCCCACAGCCTGGGATGACGAGTCATGCAAAACTCTGTCACTGCTGTTCCCTGAGGTTCAGAGCCCTGCAGGTCAGCCCCCAATGCCCATCCAGCCTCCAGCCCGCCTTTCATGGTGGCGGGGATAGTTGGGATTCCTTGAAGACTTAACAGGGTGCAGTAAAACCAAGCCTTTTCAAGAGCTTACCAATCAGTCTGCCCTTCTTTGTCCCCAAGCAGATGTGTGGTGGTTATTGCAGGGGACTACTGCTGGGTGCTCTGCCAAGTAATTAGAGCAGCACCCATGCTCTAGTCTCATTGGCCATCCCTTTCACCCTAGCATTCCATCAACATGATAAAAAAAGAAAATTCGTAAAAAAAAGAAGTGCCTTACATGGGTCCTTTAACTTCCTTGTTTATATAAAACGATTGGAGTTACCAAATAAACTTAAAACCCGAGATCAAATAGCTGCAGGACTTAAGTCAATACTTTTGTAGGTGACAATAAAAATGTAAATTAAATTACATCTATCATGATCAGCAGCAGTTTATTAGTTATACCAGGGAGGCTGCCAAAGGGACAGCAGAACAACTAAGCCAAGACATGTTAAGGAAGTTTGAAGAGGAAAAAAAAAAAAACTGTAAAAATTCAAGATGGGGGATTGTGCCCGGGCGCAGTGGCTCACGCCTGTAATCCCAGCACTTTGGGAGGCCAAGGCGGGTGGATCACGAGGTCAAGAGATCGAGACCATCCTGGTCAACATGGTGAAACCCTGTCTCTACTAAAAATACAAAAAATTAGCTGGGCACGGTGGCGCGTGCCTATAATCCCAAGCTACTCAGGAGGCTGAGGCAGGAGAATTGCCTGAACCCAGGAGGCAGAGGTTGCAGTGGGCTGAGATCGCGCCATTGCACTCCAGCCTGGGTAACAAGAGTGAAACTCCGCCTCAAAAAAAAAAAAAGATGGGGGATTGTTAGATATAGTGAACCCCAAGTTTCTCTTCAAAGAATCATTATGTCAGTATGTTCTGCTCTCTTAAATTCTCCACTTTTAAGTTTAACTTCCTTGTAGTTTCACTAAATAACCTTTTTCACTAGTCTTTTTTTTTTTTTTTTTTTTTTGAGACGGAGTTTGGCTCTTGTTTCCCAGGCTGGAGTGGCATGATCTCATCTCACTGCAATCTCTGCCCCCCGGGTTCAAGCAATTCTCCTGCCTCAGCCTCCCAAGTAGCTGGGATTACAGGCATGTGCCACCATGCCCAGCTAATTTTGTATTTTTAGTAAAGACAGGGTTTCTCTATGTTGGTCAGGCTGGTCTCAAACTCCCAACCTCAAGTGATCTTCCTGCCTCAGCCTCCCAAAGTGCTGAGATTACAGGTGTGAGCCACCACGCCTGACCTTATACCAGTTCTAATCAGTAGTTCACATCTGTTACCCCAGTCCCTTGCTCTATCCTGACTCATTCCGGTCACCTGCTCTAGTCACCTGCTTTGACCCTGGTTACCTGCTCTGACTTGCCCGTAACTCTCCTTCCCACCCAACTACCCACCACACCACGCTACCCACCCCATCACTCTGGCTCATACCCCTGCTCCCTTTAAAATAGCCAGTCGGAATTAGACTCGACTGTGCCATCTAACCCTAGCCAACAGGGGAACGACACTGCAGGAGTGACTTCCATCAGGAATATGTACCCCTTTCTCTCCCTCATCCTGGTGTGCACTCACCACTGTTCCATCTGTGAGTCGCACCCTTCTATGGAAGTTATGGAAGTAAATTGCCTTGCTGAGGAAATTTCTATTTGAGTGCTACTTCTTTTTTGGCACTGAAAATTTTACCTATAACAATGGGAAGGAACTGGTACTGCTAGCTGAAGAAGTGCTGCTGTCACTCGCCCAGAGACAGGAAGGGAAGGCGGGGGGAGCAGGCCCTCCCACACCCACACTGACAGGGCCTGGCAGTGCAGCTGGCACAGCAGAAATGGGGTGTGCAGAGGCCTGGCCCCATCCCCACAAAGCAGAAGAGATAAAGGGGCTTTGTTATGAAACAACAGCTTAAAAAACTGGCATGAGTTATAAATATCGCATTGTAATTACTTTTACTTTTTCACACTTAAACTGATAATAGCCATTTATAGCAACAGGTTTTACCCATGAGTTACTGTGGTGTAACACATGTAGTCAGTGTACCTTTTTTTTTTTTTTTTTAGATGGAGTCTTGCTCTGTCACCCAGGATGGAGTGCAATGGCACAATCTTGGCTCACTGCAATCTCTGCCTCCTGGGTTTGAGCAGTTCTCCTGCCTCAGCCTCCTGAGTAGCTGGAATTACAGGTGTGAGCCACCACGCCTGGCTAATTTTTTGTATTTTAGCAGAGACGGGGTTTCACCAGGTTGGCCAGGATGGTCTTGATTTCCTGACCTTGTGAACCACCCATCTCAGCCTCCCAAAGTGCTGGGATTACAGGTGTGAGCCACTGTGTCCAGTCTCTCTCTCTTTTTTGTTTTTTAAACAAATACACTCAGGTATTTTTTTTTTAAACGAATACACTTCGGTTCCTTTAGGGACAGAGACCTAGCAAAGCATGCTCAAGAGGACTGCTTCTGTCCTCTACCCATGTCACCAAGAGCGTAAATATTTACAGTCCCTGGTGTGTCCCTTTGGGTTCAGCACTTGCTCACACTAGCTTCACACCCAGCACCTCAGGGCCCCCTCGAAAACACTGGTCCTGCAGGGCAGCAGAGAGTTTGCATCAGAAAAGTGCAGTTCTTACCACAGTTCTTCAGGGTTAGGAGAGGGTGGTTTGTAGGCAGTGGTTCTGGGGTCGTCACATCCAGTCCAGCAGCTGCAATCTGACCACTGGCCAAGGCCTGGTACAGGTCATCCTGGTTTACGACCTCACCCCTGGGAATGACAGTGGTGACATGGGTACCCCAAAGATCCCTGTGCCTAGGCTGCCTCTGAGGCAAAACAACCTACAGAATGAATATTTCCACTCACCTGGCACTTGGCACTGACTTTTAAAGCAGTAAGTCTTAGGGTATACTTACAGTATGTCTGTAAGTCTTACACTCAGAGAACTCCAGCCCTGCCTCCTTCTAGCTGTGTGATCTTGGGCAAGTGTCTCAAATTCTCTGTGCCTCAAAGTATCTGTCACAAATTATCTGCTCTGTGAGATAAGGGAATACCACCAAACTCCAAGGCATGTTGGGAGGATGAAAGCTTCCTTACATGCTCTACCGCATGAACAGGGCCCAGAGGGCGTGTGTCAGGCCTCACCGAGTGTTCGGATCTGGTTGGCCTTCAGACCCCCACTGAGAAGCACCACAGCATGCCATCAGGCACCTGCCTAAACCAGGCCAGAGAAATGGGCACACGCCCCCAACCACATCCATCAAAGGTAGTGGCCACTGAAGCCAAGAACTGATCTTCTAGAGATTGCATCTTGTGAAGTAATATTTGTGCACTAATGAGTAATGGAGGGTCCCAGGTACACTCAGTCACCAGTATATGGCAGCCGAGACTGCTACCAGCCAGCAGCACCAGCCCTGTGCTCCTGCATGTCTCTCTTCCATTCTCAGGTTACCTGTTTTGTAACTAAACATTGGTGATTATAGGTTCCTTTAGGGTGGATGAGTCCTTGGGGTGACCTCACCCAATCCTCCTTCCTCTAAACTGATGTAAACAGGCTCAAGGGGCACCAGCTGGGAGGGGCTTGGAGAGGCAGAGAAGGAAGGTCTGACCCCCACACATGCCCAGTGGCCTGAAGGCACCCCTGGGGACAGTGTGAGGAACTAAGACCTCGTGAGTTTTAGGGTCTGTCTTCCCAGGAGCCTAAGGTTCAAAGTATCACTGAACCACAGCCAGACAGAGCCAGGCTTAGCAGTGTGGGAGGAGGCCTTTGGTGGACCCCTCAGATCCTGAAGTCCAGCCCTTTGTGGTGGAGGACAACAGGCCTGGAAAGTCTCCCTGGGAACACTCCCTGAAGCCACTCGGCTGTGTGCCAGGCCCTGCCAGGCGGGGGGCTACTACTAAGTAGACAGGCCAGGCCCACTCCAATGGTGGCTCTTCCTTGTGCAGTGCTCTCGTGTATTCCCACGTATGAGTGGTTGTTCGGTTTATGGACACCAGCAAGCTCGCCCTGGAGTCTCACCAACAACCCATGGGGAAGAAAATCTGCAGATGGCAGCAGTGGGGATGGCTCCTCTCCAGACTTGCTGGGAAAGGTGGCCCCAGGATACCTGCTAATGTTGACAAACACAGCTGTTTCCTTCATCTTCTGGAAGAAGTCCTTGTTGCAGAGTCCCTTGGTTGCTGGAGTTAGGGAGCAAGCCACGACGATGAAATCAGACTGGGCAGCCAGCTCGGGGGTAGACACTGAGGAAGGGCGGGACTCCGTCAGGCACCAAGTCCAAGGAGAGGGACAACCAGATGGCGGGAGGCCAGCCCCTTGCTCCCGACTACTGTAACAGAAACTCTCAAGATGCTTTCTGAAGGCCGAGTCTCTACCTGGACAACTCTCATGACCACACACAGTCAAATCGAGCACAGTAGGATCTGGACCACTCTGGCTTTAACCACCTTCAGGGCCCAAAGTGCCCAGGGGGGTTGGGGAATGCTTGAGATCCGGCCTGCCTTGTGCTCACCAGGCTGCGGAACCACCAGGGACTGGATCTGCCTGGACTAAGGGGCACACACAGAGGCTGGGGTCGTGCTTACCAGTTTATGAAGGAAAGTGTAAGTGCCCAGCCCTTCCTTACACCTATCACCATCCCAGATGCTCCACCCGGAACGGGCAGTGGTAACAAAGAACTCTGAAAGACAGGACCCTAGACTGCTCTGCTGGCACAGAGAAGACCTGGGTAAGTCCCTGTGCCCCTTGAATGGGCCTGTGTCCAGAGGCAGGTAGAGGAAACACCACCTACCAGACATAGTAGCCCCTGGACACACCTGGAGCTCCTGCCCTCTGCCTGAAAATGCCGCCATTAGAGAAAATCCAGCCCCTCACTGGGCACAGATGGGGCTCCCATGGAAATCAAGGATTCACTTACCAAACTCCGCCTGGAATTCCGCTGCATCCTCAGGCCTGGGCTGGCGCCCTGTGTACAGAAATCTCTGGACGCCAAATGGTTTCAGACGCCGAGCAATGGCCTGGCCTAAAGCAAGGAGAGTCCAGGTCTTGTTCCCAGTCCCACAGAGGGCAGGGGCAGTACCCAGCAGCTCCGGGACAGCGGCCAGGGCAGATCCTTTCATCAGCACAGCCCCAGAGCTGCCCTCCAAAGCAGGCGGGGGGCTGGCTGTGCCATGTAACCAGCCCCCAGCCAGCCCACACTGCCCCAGGGATCTGGAGACAGCGCCTCGGCTCCCCTGAGGCTGTAACTGGCTTATACTGTCCTCACATGGTCCAAACCACCTAGAAAGCCACTCACAGGATTTTCCTAACCTCTGAGAAATGGAGTTTTCACTAAGGAGATGTTTGGTCAGGCAGTCCCCTCCTTCGTCCTGGACCCTCTGCTTCTGCGGATGCAATCTTAGACTCATTTGACTTTTTGGTGGCACTGCCAAACTGCCAGCTCACCCCAAACCTACAGTTACTTTTCATGTAAGCTGCTGCTGAGACAGGTTTGTGCCATTGGATTTTCACACTCAATGTGCCCCAGAGCTGTTGGCTTCCTCCAAGCAACTCTCGGGTGAGAGGCAGGGCTGTTAGCTGGCTAGACACCCTCCACACCCTGCACTCACACCCCTGTACCACCAGGCAGGATGACAGAGACAGAGAACCACGGAGGGAGCTGCTAGGTTAGGCCCAAGCCTTTCTGACAGGCTTCTCCAAATAAGGGCCACTGGAAGAAAAGTGGCTGTGCCTCAACTGCAGAACTGCAGACAAACTACCCATGAGCCCTCAGGCCCTGAGTTAGGGCCTCATGAGTCAAATATCTTCCAGAACCCAAGCTGGAGTAGGTGTTGGGGGAATGGGCTCTCTCACAGTCACTCCTAAAGACTTTAACACAGCATGTGTAGTCTTTACCTGTTCTTTATGGAGCTGGAATCATGAAGCTCCCTGACTTAGGCAACTTGCTTTTATCACCTAGTGAGTTCTTAAGGATCTCCTGCTTTCTTTATGTACTTGCCTGTGTTTTGCAAAGCTGCATCCCTCACTAGAGATATCCCTACTGCAAGCAAAGTGCCCTGACAGCGTGTGGATCTTCTCAGAGCAAACCAAGCCATGAGAGCCGGGGCGGGCAAGCAGGCAGGTAGGAGCCTCACCTATTCGCCCCAGCCCGATGATGCCGACAGTGCTGTGTGTGAGCCCATAGCCACACAGCCAGAGGGGCTTCCATGAGGTCCAGCCACCACTGTGGGGGAGAGAGGGGCAGGTAAGAGGCCGATCCTTGGGCAAAGATGAGGGCCCGCTGAGAACCCAGCACCCCGGCTGTGGTCCAAGGTGTGTGACCCGCCCTCCAGGTCAGAGACTGAGAGTGGGATGAGGCACTGTGACTCAGCACTGCAAATGAGCCGCAGAAATGACTCCTCCTTTAAAGCCACCAGGGACACAGAACCTGAGGGCAGGAAGGGGCCTTACTGGCTCTCATCTCATTTTGCAAATGGGAGAACAAACCAGAAAGAGTGACCTGCCTGAGGTCATACAACCAGGGGAGAGCTGAGAGCAACAGGCTGCAACTTGGGATTTACAATTCCAAAACAAGCTCTCTTGGCACTCTAGGGCAGCAACAGAGCACAGCCACAGGGCCCGGCCTACTGCCCTGGACAAGACAGAGCCTGCCCTGAGCCACCTCCAATGGAGGTGCTGACTGCCTAGATAGGACAGCGAGCAGGACACTTAGCACTGTCTACTCTGCTCCATGCCAGGGCACACGCTGCTGGCCACATCTCCTGAGGGCCTGCGTTTGCACCCCTCCCATCTTGGCTCAGGCCAGTTCCTGCGTCTACACCTGGAATGCTTCCCCAACTCTTTAAAAAAAATTTTTTGAGACAGGGTCTTGCTCTGTCACCCAGGCTGGAGTGCAGTGACACAATGTCGGTTCACTGCAGCCTCTGCCTCCTGGGTTCAAGCAATCCTCCTACCTCAGTCTCTCCTGAGTAGCTGGGAGTATAGGCATGTGCCACCACACCTGTGCCTAGTTTTTGTATTTTTGGAGAGATGGGATTTCGCCACATTGCCCAGGCTACTCTCTAACTCCTGAGCTCAGGCAATCTGCTGGCCTCAGCCTCCCAAAGTGCTGGGATTACAGGTGTGAACCACCACGCCCAGCCAACTCTAACTCTTGATATACAGACTGAAATCCCTGATCTGAAACCCTCAGGTTAGATTTTAAAATTGTTTGCCTTTTAGAAAGGTAACATGGCGCACGTGTGTACTCCACACATCACCCTCTGCAGTGTCTGGGCAGTGCCCTGTTTTAAACGCAGTGTTACATCTGCAGCAAAACTTAGAAGAGTCACGCTAAGTGGGAGAAATAAAAGCCTTAAATAGCCTCCTGTTAGTATGAAAGAATATTCAGCTGTCCGAGCTCTTTAGATTTTAGCATCATTGGTAAGCGATGGTGGACCTGCAGCTCTCAGGACTCGAGTGGATGCCCCCACCTGCTGCTTCTTCCTTGAAGCCCTCCCTGATCCACACTCTCCCACCCCGCCCTCACTCAGCAGCAGAACTGGTTTATCCTCCTCCATCCTCTTCCCTTCCTGCCCTGCTTATTGCAGCTTGGCCTTGAGCTTTAATGACTTTAGCTGGGTCCTCCCTCAATGGGGCACACCCGGGGATAGGGGCTACACCCGGGTCGGAGTGGCCCTGTGATCAGGAACCGGTGCTGAGCAGAGCCTATGTTCCTGCCAGGCGTTCACTTACTTCTTTACTTCTTCAATGGCCTCTGGCAACCGGCGGCAGGTGCTAAGAAGCAGGGAGACTGCAAGTTCGGCAGTGGCATCTGTCAGGACATCTGGGGTGTAGCCCACTCGGATCCCACTATGAATCAAACATCTGGTGGTAACATCAGCCTCAAGTGCCTTCACCAATGTCTACTGCGGGGACACTTTCATGGGGTTACTTTGCTCCCTCTTTAATGTGCCTGCCAGGAGCTCAGAACTATAAATGAGCACTCAAAAACTCAGTCCTCATTCACGTTTATATTATCGCCCACTTTGGAAGGATATGAAGATAAAAGATCAGGGTTCAAGGACTAAACAAGTAACTTAACCTTTCTGGGTTTCCTCATCTGAAAGAGAAAGAATGATACCTGCCTTTTCTACTGCAAGGTAATGATTTAATGGTTTTAGCTGGGTCCTCCCTCAATGGGGCACACCCGGACATAGGGAGGACCCAGCAAAAATCATTAAATTTTTGTTGTGGGGATCAAAAAAGATAATGATTATGAAAGGGTGACAGCTACACAGCTACACAGAAGTTACCCTGTTTCTGACTGCTGGGGCTTATTGTAACTGACCTGTGCACATGTGGACAGATTCTATCCTCAGCCACCTCACATTCTCCCTGAATGGACGAGGGATATTAAGTAAAAGCAAATCAACAGCTCCTCCTTCTCTCTCACAGCCGCCCTCTCTCCAGCCCCTCCCAGGGCCCAGGCTGCAGTTACCGCTTCTTGATTTCATCCAAAGCCAAGTGGTCAACGCCCACGGACAGGGTGCTGATGACTTTAAGATTGGCCCCTGTTGTGCAGAAAATGCACTGTTAGTATCTTCCCTTAATGAACTCAGAGCCACACACCTGCTTATGATTGTTTTCTTAGAAGAAGAGGCTGACGTCTCTGTTCTTCAGTTAAAACTCCAAACAATCCCCTTTGACAGCCTCAGACACGGTGGCTCAAGGAGGTTAAGTGACATGGCTCAGTCACAGGCAGAGCCGGGTTCACCTTGAGGCCTCTGCCACAAGACCCCACTCTTACCCACTGGACCATCCACCCAGCGAAGCCTCGGGTCTCCTTCAGCCACACTGGAGCCTCCACCATGGACACCCCTGAGAGTGCCAAGAAGGTGGCTGGGACATGACCCTCCCACACCCTCTCCTGCAAGCAGGACACCAGAAAGCTTTCAGGCCAAGGTCAGGGCAAGGAGTGGCTCAGCACTGACTCACAAGGGCCCTTTCCCATCTGGTAACCTGAGTCTGAACCTTTTCTCAAAACTGCCACAATAACCTCAAGGGGCAAGGTTTACCTTTCCCCAGGCTGAGACCTGTGGCTGCAGTTGCAGAAAGATGTCCTGGGTGCCTGCTGGCGCTTGCCACTGAGCTAGGTCCTCCCTCATGCTACTTGCAGGCCCAGAAGAGGCAGGTCTTGCTGGAGGTCACAGAGCAAGGCTGTGGCAGGGCTGGAGAACCCAGGGCCTTGGATGCTCTTCCCCATACCCAGTCTCTACACCCCAGTGTTTGCCCTCCCAGGGCACTCCCCCCCCACCCCCCGCAAGAGGTTCACAGAAGGAGGGAGGAGCAGTGCCTATGCCAGGCCCAGCTATCTGCCCCCTCGGGTCTGGTATCCCAGGAAACGCCCTCAGAACCCAGACAGCACTGCAGGGCAGCCCAGGAGCCAGCAGCTCAGGCTGAGGGGCCCACAGAGCCAAGCCATCCTCGTGTCTGCCACCCGCCCAGCACGCACCTGCGACATCCAGGAGCCTCTTGTCCACGCGGTCGGAGAGGAGGCAGAGCAGGCCGTGGGCCCCCGCCACCCCTCGCTCCAGCCCCTCGTTGGGGATGGGCTCATCTGAGTCCCACTGTTCCACCTCACAGCTGTGGGAAAAGCGAGGCCCTCAGGAGAAGCAGGCGCCGCACACCTGTCCCAGTCCCTCCCAGCTAGAAACCATGGCCTCAAGCTGCCCGGGACGGGTTGAGGGGAGGCAGGGTCAGGTGGGGGTGGCCTCAGAACTGTCCCGAGAGGGCAGGTGACAGGTGAAGGGCTGAGGGGACCCGAGCAGAGCCCAAGCTGCAAGGGGAAAGGCATGGGGACAGGTCTCAGGTCAGCACAGAGAAGAGCTTTCCACACTCACAGGGGCTGGGCGGCCAAGCAAGAGGCCAACTACAGGAAAGGCCTGGAGGGCAGGGCGTGCATCAGGTGGGGGCCTGGATTCAGAGACCTGTTGCCGCTCTTCCTATTTTTGGAGGAAGTGCTTGGCACTAAACTAGGTTCTCTTCCACGCTATGCACAAGGAGTTGTCTATTTTATGAGATAGAAAACTCATAGTCGGACTGGGCCCAGGAAAGATAAGGTCAAGGCCACGCAACACTTCTCAGGGCACTCAGCACTTCCACAGCAGCTCACGGGAACTGGACACCTGTCCCAGTGGCAAACCCGGCCTCCTGGCCCTTGCCATGGAATTCAGTGCAGCCAGCGCAATGTGGAGCCTCCATGAGGCAGGACACAGGATAGCTACTGGCACCTCCCGACTTAGCCCGGGGCTCTGACCACCTTTCATCCACCTCCCCATGAGAGGGCACAGTGTGAGCTACTGTCACCATGAGTGAGGTTGCCTTCCGCTTAGGACAGAGGGTCCTTGGCAAATTTTGTGGCAGTGAACAAAATTTAAAAATCTCATTTGCCCCTAGAACTGGTTGCTGAGGCTGAGTGGCAGCCTCTTCCTAACACTGGAAAGGCAAACCTGATCAAATGCAGTGGTCAGACGGCAGGCAGGCATGTCTGAGTACAAACCCCAGCTCCTCCACCTGGGAGCCTCATAGCTTTGGGCAAGGAACTTAACCTTAGGGTTACGTTTTTAATCTATGAAATGGGAATGATTTCACTGTGCTGCAAGGATTAAAAGTATGTATATGAAGCACCTGGCAAGGTTGGCCCACAGAAAGGGTTCCATTTAACAAGGGCCGGACAGGTGCAGTGGTTTATGCCTAAAATCCCAGCACTCTGGGAGGCTGAGGTGGGAGGATCCCTTACATACGGAGTTCAAGACCAGCCTGGGCAACACAGTGAGGCCCTAGTCTCTGCAAAATTTAAAAAATTAGCCAGGCATGGTGGTGCATGCCTGTAGTAGTTCCAGCTACTTGGGAGACTGAGGTGGAAGAATCACTTGAGTTCAGGAGGTGGAGGCTGCAATGAGGTATAACTGTGTCACTGCCATTGCCTGGGTGAGAGTGAGACCCTGTCTCAAAAAATAAATAAATAAAAGAAAAAATTAAGAGTCCTCAGGCCCGGCACAGTGGCTCACACCTGTAATCCCAACACTTTGGGAGGCTGAGAGGAGGATCGCTTGAGCCCGATTTTGAGAACAGCCCGAGCAACAAAGTGAGACCCTTATCTCCACAAAACAATCAGAAAATTAGCCGGTGGTGATTGTGCGCACCTGTAGTCCCAGCTGGTCGGGAGGCTGAGGTGGGAGAACTGATTGAGCCCAGGAAGTCAAGGCTGCCGTGAACCATGATCGATCAGCCATCGCACTCCAGCCCATGCAACAAACCGAGACTCTGTCTCAAAATTAATATTTAAAAAAGGGTCATCAGAAGTCCCTGCCAATTGTCCAAGGGACCAGGTCAGTGACCCTCAAGTCCCTGACTCCACCTGCCCTGTGGGAGCATAAAAAACTGACAGCCTGCACCTTGCCTCAGGGGCAATGTCCCCTCTCCAAAGCCGGAACTGCACGTCCCAGCGTCGTCTTAAGGGGCCTGGAAAGACATGGGCCCGAAATAACTTTCTCCGAGCCTCCCCCAAACTCCAAGCGCGACCCAGCCGGCCACTAGTGGAAAGGCCGGTCAAGGCCCAAGCGCCCAGCCCGGCTCTCCTATCCCTAGGACAGCCCCTCCCCTCCCTCACAGGGCGCGTGGCTCTTACTCTGCGGCCCGGGCAAGCACGGCCCTGCCTTCCGGAGGGATCCTGCGGGTGACGAACACCTTCATGAGTTGCACCGGTCTCATCCACCGTGCAAATGCCAGACGCCGACCCGGACCTGGCGGGACTGACGTAGGCCGCGGGAATAGAGCCGGGCCGGGGCGGAACCACACTTGAGTGGGCGGGCCCACGCTTGAATGGGCGGGGCGCGACGTGCGCGGGGATGTGGCCTCGCGTGCGGGAGTGCGGGGTTGCGACTGGGCGGTGACTGCGCGTGCGCATGGAGTGACAGTGACCCTATACGGTGTCTTTGCATGTGGCGGGGTGTGCGCCTCGTGCCTCTGGGGAATCAGGGCCCCGGGGAAGAGGGGGCAGTCTCTTGTCCAAGGCCTCATGGGAGCCCTGCTTTCTGTACACGCTCAAGGTCCTGTTTCCACGGGCTCAGGCCTTAAGGGACAGAAAGCCCCCGCTTTCTGTTTCTTGGGTTGGCCCAGGGTTGAACCCATGTTCCAGGCTGTGAGAAATTCCAGGACACACAGAGAGGTCATGTGTACATGTTCAGGCCAACATCACAGCCAACGGCCCAGCTTCCAGCCAGCGTCAATGACCAGATATTTGAATGGGAAAGCCTTCGATGACTCCAGGCCAGCTCCCATCTGACTTTGAAAAGAGCTACGACCTTGAAGAAAAAGCCTGAAGGAGAACCACTGGCTGAGCCCAGTCAGCCTCGGAACCATAAGAGATGATAATGTACTCATTGCTGTTGCTCTAAGCCATTGAATTTTGGAATTTTTTAATTTTTTTGAGATGGAGTTTCGCTCTTGTTACCCGGGCTGGAGTGCAATGTTGTGATCTCGGCTCACCACAGCCTCCGCCTACCAAGTTCAAGTGATTCTCCTGCCTCAGCCTCCCGAGTAGCTGGGATTGTATTTTTAGTAGACAAGCGGTTTCTCCATGTTGGTCAAGGCTGGTCTCGAACTCTCGACCTCACGTGATCCACCCGCCTCGGCCTCCCAAAGTGTTGGCATTACAGGTGTGAGCCACCGCGCCCGGCTGGAATAATTCTTTATGCAGCAATAGATAACTGTGGAAAACCCAGAAGCCATCAGAATAAAATTAATTCTTCATTAAAAAATTAACCGCTACAGCCATACCATCCTGAATGCATCTGATCTTGGAAACTAAGACTGGTTAGGGCTTGTATGGGAGACTGCCTGGGAATACCAGGTGCTATAGGCTTATCTAAAAAAAAAAGTTAACAAAATCATCCAAAGAACTGGGAAAAATACCATATATTTGCAATTCATTTTATAGACAAGGGATTAATTTCCTTATTGCACAAATAGTTCCTAAGACAAAGATGCCCAGCTTATCTGAATAAGCAAAGGATACCAATGGATACTTTACAGAAAAAGAAATGGCTTTTAAATGTATGGCCGGGCACGGTGGCTCACACTTGTAATTTCAGCACTTTGGGAGGCTGAGGCAGGCGGATCACTTGAGGTCAGGAGTTCAAGACCAGCCTGGCCAACATGGTGAAACTCCATCTCTACTGAAAATACAAAAATTAGCTGGGCATGGTGGCACATGCCTGTAATTCCAGCTACTCTGGAGGCCGAGGCAGGAGAATTGCTTGGGCCTGGGGGGCAGAGGTTGCAATGAGCTGATATTGTGCCACTGCACTCGAGCCTCGGTGACAGAGCAAGATGCTGTCTCAAAAAAAAAAAGAAAGTGCTCAACTTGACTCAAAAAAGAACTGCCTATTAAAATTACAACAAGATACCAATGTGAAAATAACACTGGGGAAACAGGTGCTTTCATATGTTGCTGGTAGGAGTGTAAATCAAGCACCTTCAATAAAAAAACATTTGGCAGTAGCTATGAAAATTTAGAGTGCACATCTTTTTGACCCAGAAATGTTGCTTTTAGGAATTTACCTGATAAGCCGGACAAGGTGGCTCACGCCTGTAATCCTAGCACTTTGGGAGGCTGAGATGGGTGGATCACCTGAGATCAGGAGTTCAAGACCAGCCTGGCCATCATGGTGAAACCCCATCTTTAAAAAAAAAAAAAAGGAATTTACCTGACAGATGTATTGACACATATACAAAAAGACATCTGCCAAAGGCATTGCGACACTGTTGGAATAGTAAAATAAGGGAAACAATCTAAAGGTCCATTCACAGGGCACTGTTCATTACATATGGTTCATTCCCACAGTGAAATACTCTATATCAATCAAAAGAGCGAGGCAGTCCTATTCGTACCAATGTGGAATTACCTCTAAGATGTACTGTCCAGCAAAAAAACAGGGTGATACAAAGTGCATGTTACCATTTATAAGAGAAAGTATGTCCCTATTCTTTTGTTTTTGTTTTGAGACAGGGTCTCAGTCTGTCATCTAGGCTGGAGTGTGGTGGCGTGATCTTGGCTCACTGCAACCTCCACTTCCTGGCTCCAATGATCTCCCACCTGAGCCTCCTGAGGAGCTGGGACCACAAGCCTGTGCCACCACACCCAGCTAATTTCTTGTATTTTTTGTAGAGACGGAGTTTTACTACCAGCCTGGTTATCACTACCAGGCTGGTCTCAAACTCCTGGGCTAGAAGTAATCCACTTCCAGAGTTCACAACACCTGGTCATCTATTCCTGTGTGTTAAATATTCCTGGAGAGATGTGCAAGAAACATATTTCTTGTTTCATGGGAACAGGCTGGGCACAGTGGCTCGTGGTTTATAATCCCAGCACTTTGGGAGACTGAGGCAGGAGGATTGCTTGAGCCTAGGAGTTTGAGACAAGCCTGGGCAACATAGCGAGACCCTATCTCTTCAAAAAAAATTTGTTTTAATTACCCAGGCATAGTGGTGTGCACCTGTAGTTCCAGTTACTTGGGACACTGAGGTGGGAAGATTGCTTGAGCCTGGGAGGTTGGGGCTGCAGTGAACTGTACCAACCCATTCTGACTGTGCCACTGCACTCCAGCCTGGACAACAAAGTGATACCCTATCTCTAACAAAAGAAAAGAAAAAAAGAAAAAGCAGAAACTGGGGACAGTGGCTGTCTCCAAGGAGAAGACCTAGTGGAGGAGGACAGTGAGAGAGACACAATTTTCACCCTTTGGGAATTTGTATCTTATGCATTTATTATCTATTCTCAAAATAAAGAAAACATTCATTTAAAAATAGCACTTGGCAGCCAGGCACGTTGGCTCACACCTGTAATCCCAGCACTTTGAGAGGCTGAGGCAGATGGATCACAAGGTCAGGAGTTCAAGACCAGCCTGGCCAAGATGGTGAAACCCCATCTCTACTAAAAAAATACAAAAAAATTACCCAGGCATGGTGGCGGATGCCTGTAATCCCAGCTACTTGGGAGGCTGAGGTAGAGAATTGCTTGAACCCAGGAGGTGGAGGTTGCAGTGACCTGAGATTGTACCACTGCACTCCAGCCTGTGCAACAGAGTAGGACTCCATCTCAAATAAACTAAACTAAAATAAAATAAAAATAGCACTTGGCCAGGCATGGTGGCTGATTTCTGTAATCCCAGCACTCTGGGAGGCTAAGGCAGGAGGACTGCTTGAGCCCAGGAGTTTGAGACCAGCATGGGCAATGTAGGGAGACCCCCCCGCCATACACACTGTCTCTACAGAAAATTTTAAAAATTAGCTGGCTGTGGTGGCGCATGCCTGTCGTCCCAGAAGGCTGAGGCAGGAGGATCACTTTAGCCCAGGAGTTCAAGGTTACGGTAAGCTATAACTACACCACTGCACTCCAGCCTAGGCAACAGAGTGAGACTCTGTCTCAATAATAATAAAGATAGTCCCACAAACACTTCTTTTCCTGCTGTCATTCTGAGTCCTTGCACTCTAAATTCCCCTGCCTTAGCCATGGCCTTGCCTCTCCATCACTCAGGTGTCTCCCAGGCTGCGCTCTATGCTGATGGCTCTGGAGTGAGCAGCTCTAGCCCCCCTCACCCAGCTTCAGAGCCATAAGCCACCTCCCTCCTGCTTCCTCCACCTGAGCACCCCCAGGCATCCGGAACTCAACATGTGCCAAACCCAGTTTATCCACCTTCTCCCCCATACCCCACCGGACACATGCGCCCCTCCTGCATATCCATCAAAAGCACAGCCACTCCAAGCCAATACCTAGAAGTTACCCCCTACTCGTACACTTCACCCCTCCCACTCCCACAGGCTTGCACCGTGGTTGAGAGCTTGCGTCTGAAGCCAGGGTGCCGGGTGTGAATCCAAGCTATGCCTCTTGGTAATGGTGTGACTTAAGCAAATGATGTCATCATTCTTGCTTTCAGCTTCCTGTCTGTAGACTGGGGAGAGCAACATATGTACTCCACAGATGTTGAAACATGGAAATGTTAGTGAGTGACCATGTCCAGTGCTTAGGACAGTGTCTGGAGCTTACTGAGAGCTCCTGAAATGCCAGCTGCTCATTATGATGACTGGTTTTACCCAGTGAAGCCCAGGTCAGGCCTCCTCCGCTTGGCAGATCCCTCTTCCTGTGCCCTCAGCTAGCTCCGTTCCTACCATCCGGTAGCACTTATTGAGCCCCAGCTGTGTGCACTGCTTTAGGGGAGGGGACCCATTAGCCTTTTGTGTCCCCTCCTGCCCCTGGTGGACAGGTTTCTCCAGTGCCCGATGCCTTGTTTGTCCTTGAGTGTGGGAGGAGCTGGGCTCGGGATTAACAGAGGACACTCACTGGTTAACAGAGGCCAAAGGGCCTGGCCTGGGGACAGAAAAACACCTCCTTGCGTCAATGTTTGATGTGTTTCAGAAATATTCCCTGAGGTGACCTGAGTACAGATAATGGTCTGAGGGTAAGATACTTATTAATGTGTTACTTAAGAGGGACGTAGCAGGGTGGAGCTGTGGCCAGGATCCAGGTGGCCCAGGGACTCGTGGCCCCTGCATGGAAGAAACCTAGCGTGGATGGTCATGTCACCCAGGACCTGGGAATGGGAGTTGCCCCTGACCACATCCCCCGACCCATTCTGACAGCTCGTTCACATGGACACAGACACCCTAACTCACTCAAAAGGGACTCTCCTTGGGATGAGCTTCACCCCCACCCCCAAACCCTAAGACATACCTGCCAGTGCCCCAGCCTCTGGGGCAGTGGGTGTCATCCTTGGTCAAGTCACCCTCCAAACAAGCTCAGGGCTGGATGGCATTGTCATCTCTT